TTTTTGATAAAAATTACCCTACCGGTCTATAAAAGTGTATCATGAGTCATCGTTTCTTCATTTCTATCCCGAAATTGAGTAAAAATTAATATATGAGGATCAAATGTTATTCTACGTTAGAGAAATTTTATCCTGACATATAATAAATTTTACCCTTCCAGTCCAATAATTTTTGTGTAGATAACAACGAAAATTCTAGAACGGTTGGTAAATTTTACTCTACCGGTACAGTAATTTTTACTCTACCGGCACGGTAATTTTTATTTTTATCAGGATGAAATTTCTCTAACGTAGAATAAAATTTGATCATCATATATTAATTTTTACTACATTTCGGGATAGAAATGAAGAAACGATGACTCATGATACACTTTTATAGAACGGTAGGGTAATTTTTATCAAAAATTTCTCTCCGTGTATATTTCATGTATCCCTCAATAGTATTGTATTCATTAGAATTTTATAAAAATCGATTAGAAACTCCATGCAAAATTATAAATGGTGCCTGAAGAGAGTGAATCGAACAGAGTGAATCGAACTCCAGCAACGAATTAATAACTAATAATTTCGAAGGGTGACGATTTGTACTCATTGTTTCCTGATGACTCTCGCCTTTCTCGGCCTCTCTTTGGAAAATTTCAACGCGCAATTCATTGTTGAAAATATCGTCAATAAAAATATTCGTCACATTCTATTTGCAGACATGTTACCACGAGGAAAGTCACCGAAGAATACGCATTTGTGTGGAAAAAACTCGCAAATAGAAGACGGAAAGAATGTGTAAACATAATATGCGTCGATGTCAAGAGGTATAATGCTCGAAAAAATCTGGTTCAGATGTTCCAGGTAGACTGTGGAAAATTTAGTATAAAAGACCGGTTAAATACCGACATGCGTCTCAGTTTTGTAGCAGTGAGCCCAGAGTACCGTTCAAGAATAGCAAATCTGAAGAATTCAAATAACATGGAGAAATTTGTGATTGGTATTTTAGCTGTCATCTTTATCTGTGCAATGGCGGACATGCAGTTACATGCAGCAGATAATTGTAATTGTAAAAAACAATTCCCAGATTTCTATTTTTAAAGTCGATAATAAGTTTGATCATCAGTGAAATAACGTGAATTTGATCATTTTGTGTCGCAGTTTTTGACATTCCGGGTCTTCACCAAGATCTCATACCTCCTGAACCCGATCCACTTCCTCTGTACGACCCGATCCGTCAGCAAAGCGATTTTAGTGGACCACAGAAAGGTAGTCACGGTGAATATTATGGGGACCACGCCCCTGTCCATGCCGGTCATAATGGACACCATTGATTATTCTGGAGCATTCCTCCTTTTTCGCCCAGTTGACTTCTTCATTTCCATAAAAAAGAAATCGATGTTTCAATAAGGATGATTATGATATTATCCAAATCGAACATTATTCTGTCTGGCAGTCGCCAGTATTTAAAAAAAATCATCAAAGATTAAATTTTGTGCATCGACGTTTCAGTCTCCATTGGAAACTTTCTTCAGGACAACTATAAAATTCTCTGCAGATCAACATATCACAATTCATCATTTACATTTAGATTGTAATTAAGGATGTTTAGCCAGTGTCGGTAAATTGTCGGTAAATGTGTTTTTTTTCATGGTCAAGGAAAATTCTGTAATTTTATCGGCTGACAGCAGAACATATAAAATTAACTTTTCTAAAACAAATTGATCTCAATATCCCGAGTCGAATAATTGGACCTGACAAGTTCTACTTAGGTCTTTCTGTTCGGAACTGGATAGGTCTTGGGAAGCCTCTTCCCAAGTGCTTCCGAGACTTATCTACCTCTGGTTATGTCCCATTTCAGCACTTGTTAAGTGTAAGCTGGACTTGTATTCAGACTTTCCAAATCCTTGCCGGTCCCCGTAATTCTATGGGCCTATATTAAATCTGGGTTCATATCCCTGTTTACTCATACGTTATTGAAATAAAAAATACAATTATTGTTTTTTTTTAATCTCGAAAATCGACAGTTCACGAGAGGGTGGAGGGGAGATGCATGTATGCGGAGGCTTGAAATTTTTACCCAACAAGAGGAGAAGGTTGCAGAATCTATTCTAGCCACTTGTCCGTTCGCTTGAATGCACTGTCCAAATAAAAAATGAAATTGTTAACAAATCTGACCCTTGTTCCAAGTAAAAACCGAAATCTGACCCTGTGGCCGCCGGAGAAAAATTTATTTTTTCAGTTTTCACTTTTTCCCCATTCTTTTAAGAGTCCTGAATAGCCCATCGCTTAAACAGTTGGAATCAACGTTCACCCGGCTAAAAAAATAGATTTTGGCGAAAGTCGACTTTCCCCTGGAAAAATCCAAGGTCTGATACTTTGGCCCTCGTGACCCTTTGACCGACGTTCCCCCTGAAAAAATCGAAGATCTGACACTTTGGCCCGCGGTGAAAAAAAATTGTGTTCAGTTTTCACTTTTTCCACATACTTTTGAGAGTTCTGAATAGCCCGTCGGTTGAATAGTTGAAATCAACGTTCACCCGGCAAAAAAAATCGATTTTGGCGAAAGTCGACTTTCCCCCTGGAAAAACCGAAAATCTGACCCATTGGCTCCGGATGAAAAAAAATTTTATTTCGACATTTGTCGCGCCTCCGAGGGTTTCATTGGCATCAGAATCGTTAGAAAATACGGAATCACCCTTCACTTGGCGAAAAAATTCAATTTTGGCGAAAATCGACTTTCACCGACCCTTGACCCACGTGAAAATGAAAATTTGTTTTTCATCTTTTCTGTCACCTGCGAGGGTTTTATTGGCATCAGGGGGTCAATAAATACAGAATCAACGTTCACTAATTTTTATTTTAGCACCTGCAAACGGGGAGATGAGCGTGGCTAAAATATATTCTACAACCCTATCTCCTCATTGGCTACAAATTTCAACCCTCAGCCTACATGCTTCCCCCCCCCTCCTCGTAAAATCCGGCGGTCTCGGTAGCATAGAGGCAGACTTCTCAGAGCCGAACAGAACTGAGGATTCGAAAGGTCTCCGGAAAAGTACGTCGCAGAACTGATTAGGACTTACCAGGTCCATCTAAGTCTGGAGAGATCTTGAAAGACCTGCATACGTCCAATCAGAACCAAATCCTCGACTCGGGATAGTCTCGGCTGAAATGAATAAACTAATTTTTCCTGATACGCGGGCTCTTATGAAATTTGTGTTTAAATTGATAATTCAACTACTAGAAGACTCTAAAAATAGAAATAAAAATAGAAAGTAATGTGCAAAATCATACTGAATTCAATGGTCAGAGACAAATCTGGGGTACCCGGGCACAAAGAGGAAATATTTGAATGATTCTATATCCCATATAAGCGCTTGTATTTGGTGCATTTTGTTTATTTCATCTCAGAAGCATACCGAGATATCCTGCGATCACTGAGCTTGAGCAGTAGCGCGTAAAACCAGAAAAAGGATGGGTGACCAAATGGGAACACGGCAGTACTACAAGCAGGGATATCTCGAGAATCAATGGATCGATCGGTTTTTTTCTTTTTTTCCCATTTTTGTTTCACCGAGTTGATAATATTTATACTTTTGTCATTCTTCCAACGATTAATTTATCCAAGATTTAATCAATTAATCGATGTTAGAATGGAACTGGTAGTATGAAGAGGGTACGGGGGAGGAAGGAAGGAGGGAAAGAATGTACGGTGGAGGAACGTTGGGGATACGTTTAGTTTCAACCTAATTTCAACGTACAATCTGGAAAAATTGAAAAAAGAGACGGTATTTACGTCGAAAGTAGGTAGAATCGGTAGACCTTGAAACTATGTTGGGAGACCCGGTAAAATTTCGACTCGGGTATTCTCCCTATTATGATATGCAAACTTTCCATTTTAGAGTTGCGCATTTTTTCCCAGATTAATTCCTTCAAGATTTGCAGGAATTTCCAACGAATTCACCTATAATTGATTATTTTTGATAATTCAAATGGATTATGATCACCGGTGATAATATTAGTCAGAAATCTCCTTTTATTTCCCAAAGAGCTTTTGTTTGGCGGAGGGAGTGGGGAAGATGGCGAAATAAATATTTTCGCCATTTTTTTTTTAGAAAAAGATGAAGGACATCTTCATTTTCAACCATTTTTTCTAATGCATTTCATCTAATCCCACAATTTCAATTTATTCTCAATCGGTTCACACGAATAAAAATCTCCGGTTCAGTCATTATAAACCAGTATTCTTAGTTTTGAGGCTTTCATCAATCCTTATTAAATCAAAGAAACCGTCATCGTAGAGCTAAAAGGACGTAAGTGGTGCGTCTAAGCATAGCTTTTATGCTTCTTTGACTATATGACGATGAAATGAATCTCACGAATGGTCCTATCACTCTTTGATCTCCGTTGATCACAAATACAGATGAATATCCGATAATTTGAATGCATATTCATTGCGGTATAGATGCGGTTTTAAAAGCAAAAATTATACTCAATAAATTCTTATTGGCACCGATTTGAATACAAATTCAAAAATTATGAAAAACACGTTTATTTATAACGACAACGACGATGATCATTCTGATTGGAGTAGCATAAGGCAGCTATGAGGAAAAAGGTATATTTTCATTTTCCAGTTTTGCGTGCATTAAGTGTCATGCATGCACAAAAATTATTATTCCTTCGTTGACGTCAGAAAAGATTCAATTAATCGTTGATCTCAGAAAAGACTACGGCACAATCAATCAAAAAGTGAATTATTTGAATAATAATGCTTAGTCATTTCCATTCACGAGAGCTTTATTGATTCGAGGGAAGCCATGTAGCATTAGATGCACTCCTCCCTGGTAGAGGAAAAATAAGTAAAATGTACAGAGAATTCTCAAATGAAGATGATGCTACACCACAGGTAACTTGAAGGACACCGAAATATGGAAATTTATTCATGAATAAAAACAATAATATTCTCTACGTGATAGTAGTTCGGAGAAGTCGAGTCATCAGTGTTGAAGATCACGGGGTATAAGAGATGCGCCCAACATCTATGTCGACATCAGTTTTTCACCGGTCGCGTCAAGAGTGTAATTCTGGAGAAACGAATTATAAGAGATTCAACGACATGGTTAAATGGTATCTGGTTGTGATTTTAGCTACAATTGTGGTCGGTGCATTGGCCTCTTCTGAGCAACAAGGTGATGAGATAAGTATTTATCATCCGAGCAAACTATTTACTCGTACATATGGTGACAAGTTATATTCGAAGACGGAAGTATACAAAATTTCCGAAAATTCAAGGAAAATATTTGAAGGATAGCTAGGGGAAGGGAGAATATTTGAGAACGGAAGCTCTAATGGAATTACGTCTCCGAAGCTTTATTAATGAGTTGCTGATCAACAAGCACATGTTAGCCAAAAACCACCCACTTCTCTCTATGAAAAAGGAAATGAAAAATTGACAGAATTGATTATCTACACGGAGACAAAAATTCAACAAAAATTATCAGAAAAAAACGTAAAAATTACGTTTCGAAACGTAATCTGCGAGCGAAGTAAAATTCAGTAAAAAGTGTGAGTCAGAACTAAAATTGTACGAATCGCCACGTAAATTCTACGATTTGTTCCGTAAAAATTAACCACCCGTCTGATGACTTACCGCTGTGAGGACAACAAGTCGCTCCGTAATTTTTCCCCAACGATTGAGAAATTTTACGGGCGAACGTCGAAATAAATCACCAGCTTCATAAAAATTGTTCAACGTTCAATAATTTTTTATTTTGAAGACATAATAAGGCGGAAAGTTTCTGTAAGATTTTACTTCGGGAAACATTACGTGACAATTTCGTACTTTGTTCGGTGATGAACTCGTGCTGCGCACGCGGATTTTTAGCCTGCAAAACTTGACACTTTTATTTGTTTGCAACGAAGCTATCGGGAAATATTCCGATAATTTTGAAGGTCTCGGGGTATTATAACTGATAATTTTTGATAATCAAACTATTCAACTTGACTCCATCGTTTGTTTGCAACGAAGCTATCGGGAAATATTCCGATAATTTTGAAGGTCTCGGGGTATTATAACTGATAATTTTTGATAATCAAACTATTCAACTTGACTCCATCGTTTGTTTGCAACGAATCTATCGGGAAATTCCTGATAATTTTCAAGCTCTTGTGGTATTACATATGACAATTTCCTCAATTCTGATTTTGACCAATCAGAGTGCAGTATTCGGGGTCACGTGACGCGTTTCATACTGATAATTTCCCCGGCTGCAGGGAAATTATCAGACTGTTAATTTTCCTGTAGCCTGTCAATTGTTTTCTACGAATTTGACAGATATTCCTCACATTTTGGTGAAATGTGTCCCGTAACCCCGAACACTGCACCCTGATCGGCCAAAATCAGAATTGAAGAAATTGTCCTCCGAATACCCCTCGACCTTAGAAATTCATCGGATATTTTCCTCAAGTTTTCCTGCATATCAACGATCGGGATCAGTTTTGCAGTAAAATCCCTCTCATTACTATGCAACAAACCATTCGGGGAATATCCGATAATTTTGAAGGTCTTCGGGGCTATAATAATAGCTGAATATTTCTCTCCGTGTATAAATATTTAATGTCTTGAACGATTTACTCATTAACCAATATTGTATTGACTCGAAACATTGCATATCATGAATCCGTCTATTTGCTCCTCAGCCAGAAAATTCCTTACATTAATCTATACTTCACATCTATGATTTTTTTTCGGTGAATGAGCGTAGTTTATTAGATAGACGAAAATGGAAGAGAAGCAGACGCGGATATCAGAATTTCCAATTAACTTCTGAATGTGGATTCGCCTTCCACCTGGGTATACTCACCTTTTCACAAATTTATTTTCCTCGAAATTCGGTGTTACTGAGCGGGATTTTGTTGCATGCCATTTGAAAGAATTTCATCGCCTTTTCATTATTGCAGTGAACGAAGACCAGATGCTTTCGAGAATGATAAGATCTGCGGACCCACTCGCAGATCCTCATCACCGTCGCAGGGGATATCATGGAGGTGGCCATGGATATTACAGAGGTGGTGGATACTACAAAGGTGGTGGATACTACGGGTAGGATAACATTTCCTTATGAATGATTGTCAGTCTGCTGCTATTGTTCTAGTTTGGGTTATGGCAAAACATTGTTATACCTGGAATCTGATTCATTTTAAATTAACACTAAGTGGCAAATGGATGAACCGACTTTAATTGAAAACATTTCCTGACCAAATGATACGTCGTTGACAAATTAGGTCTCATTTTGAATCTCGATACAATACTTTCAACGGGAAAGAACAGTCGGGAAACTCCCACTTATGAAAAAATATCATAGAAAAAACTATCGAATACGCCAGAAAATTCTATTGCATTTCTAATGATTTTTCTATTAGTTTTGGCGGATTCTATTGAAATTTTCAGTAAAACATTCTATAGAAAAAGTAAATAGAATTCAAATTTTCTATAAAATTTCCTCGGCTTAAATTTCGTAAGTTTTTTTGTTTGATTTTCTTGACGAAAAAGAAAGAAAAATAGAATGAAAAAAACTTGGAAAATGTGAACCGAGGAAATTCTATAGAAAATAAATCAATAGAATAAGTTCTATAGAAGAATCGAATTCTATTGACTTTTTCGATAATATATTTTCTGTTGAACATTTCCACAGAATTAGGCCAAAACCTAGGGATTATTTACTTATTGGATTCCTATTGAAGTTTCTGTTAGGCCAAAACCTAAGAGAAAGTTCAATAGGAATCCAATAAAATTGTCTAGCGAATTCGCGAGGTTTTTCTATTATATCTTTTCGGGCGTGACATTCTGGCACTCTCGTGCTACTGACTATTGAAAACGGTCTGTTTTATACGATTTTCCACTAACGAAAAGATTAACAAAAAACATCTAGGGCATCTTCTAGAGACACACAAGAAAAAATTCAATAGAAAACCTAGCGAATTTGCTATAAAATTCTATCGGAATTCTATAGGAATTCTCTGTTTCTACAGGATTTCTATTGGAATTCTATTCAATAAGAAAATAGTCAGAGTATATTTAATAAGAAAAAGTCAATAGATTCCGAATTCATATTTGAATTTTCCTCTTAAATTCTTTCTATTAGAATTATTGAGCGCAAATTTTCCAAGTTTTTTCCGCTGAACTTTGTTTTGTTTCGCATTGCAGAATCCGAGTGGAAAAAACTTAGAAAATTGATGCTCAAGCATTCTTATAGAAAAAATCTTAAGAGAAAAATTTAAACAGAAATTCGAAATCTATTGACTTTTTGTTATCGAACATCCATTAAAATCAGCGCAAAAAATGAATAGAATTTTTCAATAGAATTCCAATAGGAATCCTATAGAAACCCCACAGAATTCCTATAGAATTCCAATAGAATTTTCTAGCCAATTCGCTAGGTTTTCTATTGAATTTTTAAATACGTGGAATTCTGTTCGAACTTTTCTGCAGCTGTTTCGCATGAAAAAATCTGAAAATTTGGAAGTTTTTATGCAACTTATATTCTATTGAACTTTTTCTCGGAGATTGTTCCTGTTGAATTTTTCAGTAAGTGACGAAGAGAAATATAACGGAAAAAACGTGAACGACTGATACCAAGGAGTCAAAAAAATAAATTTATTTACCGAATGAGTTGTATAAATGAAATCGGAGTCTATCAATTTTTTTCATATAGTTTTATTTACTTTGAACTTTTTTTGTTGCAAAAACACCCGGAAGAACTGCCAAATTTTCAATGGAAATGGGCCAAAGACTAATAGAAATCAATAGCAAACATAGGTTCAGTGGATGTTTTGTTTTGTTGAATAGAAGATAATGTTCATATTTCTTGATTTTTACTTGCAGTGGGCGCCATGGATATTATGGATAAATCCATACGAATCTACGAATCGAGAATAGCTATTTGCTGTTTTAGTAATGTTGATGGCCTTTGCATAAGAATAAAGGATTTTTCTCTGGATGCGATTCATAATGGATTTATCAATCAAATTAATAATGATGCATGTAGCAACAGTAGAGATTTTTCCAACCGTTTTTCACAGAAAGCAAAATAATATAATCACCACATTATGCACAAATCGCGAATAATATTATCAATGCTTCTTAGCATTCATTCTGGAATTTCTCGGTATTCATAAGTTGACGTATCATCGCCTCGTTTGTTATTTCACGAAATACTTCGACTTATTATGGTAGAATAAATCAGGCGGCTAGATTCGTTCTTGCCATTAGATAGTGATTCAAAAGAATAAAAATATCATTCCATATTGTTTTTTATGTGTAAATAAAGTGGAGATAATGAAGTGAAAGAATAATTAAAATGTAGAGTATTTTACGTCAATTCATCTACCACCCCTTCATTTTCGGCCAATCATCTTTCTCTCTATATAGTAAAACAAGCAGGGTAGAAGCCTATTCGACAGAAGCCATCTGGCCGTTACTTTGTGCGTTATTAATATTTTCCTTCTTTTTCTCTCTACCAATTTCATTGGTAATAAGCTTCCGAATGGAAGCAATTCCGATTTCAAAAATGAAAAAACAGTGCTGCTCACTTACTTCCAGGTCGGAGTGCGATTGGTAAAGGTAGGTGGAATTGACCCTTTTTAAGTCACACCAATAAATTTTCAGACTAATAACTGACACACACACATACATAAACCGATATTGATCATATTTACGAATTATCGAAGCAAAATCTCTAATCATTTTGCAATCGTGAGGGAAACGGGTGGCTCACAATGAAATAAAATAAATCATGAACAACTTCAGACTTATTACAAATCATAAAAGCTCCTTATTAAAAACCATCGAAATTTTCACTCGACGATCCCGAATGGAAATGAGAGTGGAGTATCCCCAGTTCGTACCAGAAGTTCAAAAAAACACCCCACAAAAGTGAGTAATTATTAATTTTCAAGGGTCAAAATAACCGAGAGCTACGACATCGTCTTATTTTGACTTGATTTTGACGTCAAAAAATTCAATTCGGACACGTAATTTTTTAGATATTGCTGTATTTTGGAAACTAGTGCGACGATTTAGTTACATAGGTCAGTCTCGACCGACCTATGTCTTCGTCCCAGCTATGACATTCCATCAAATATTACATAATAGAAAATATAAAAAATCATAAATTTATGTTATATGACTGTTGAAGTCTTACGGAGACAAAAATCATTGATAACATGACGATGTGTGATTTAAAAAAAAATTTTTTTGGATGAATCGCTCTACGCCAGGATGTACTGAATCGATTGACACAAAATTTTATACACGAGTGTGGGTTAATAATGCGAATCAGTAGCCAAAATCTCAGATGTTTACTTCTAGTTTTACGTGTATTATGGACACCACATGAACTTTTGAATGAAAAAAAAACAGGAAAACGCTGATATCTCGGAAACTTTGTATGGGCGGGTATGCATATTTTGATTGATCTTGATAGAAGGTACCATGAGGAATATTTTGAAAAAAAAAGAAGTGAATCGGCCCAGTAATTTAGAAGTTATTGAGTATAACAGTTTTTCAGAAAAAGTTGAATATCTCCTAAACTACTGATCCGATTCTACCGATCTACAATCCCAACCAATGGCACCATCAGAGCTACAATCTTACAAAATTTCAACTTCCAATCTTGATTTTTCAGACAATTATCGCGCGTACACCAATTTTCTCATCAAAATGCAAAATGCCAATTATTAGCAAACCATCGCTAGATAGGTAGCAATATTATGATTTGATTCGATAGATATTATCACGAGGAATATTTTGACGCAAAAGAAATTCAATTCGGTCACGTACTTTTTGAAATATTGAGGAAAACAGATTTTTGAGAAATTGCTGTCTCGAAAAGTACTGCACCGATTGAGCTGAAACTGCGCCCCAAAATGCTCCAAAGTAATACCAATTAAATGACAAAATTTCATATTTTTATCTTGAACTTTAGTCCTTTTTTTGGTGTAATTTATAAAAAAATTCTGAAAAATGACCACACACTTTCGGACACACACATACATTTTCTAAAAACATCACATCTTCACGTTTCATGACATTCTACATCATTTCCAGGTCTAATTGGAAGATCGCAAAAATCATCGGTCACAATGCTTCCATTCGGAAGCAAAAATAAGGAGGGTTAAAAAATCATGAGGCGTCCCTGATTCTGACCCTTATCTATGACCCTGAGGATGCCATTGGGAATGAATTCTTACCTCTATCTCTCTAATATGTTCATATTTCTGTAGATTCATATGGGAGTCTTCTAGGGGTCACATTCTATGGGGGTCAAATTCTTAAAAAATAATAATAAGATAATACCTTATTATTATTTAAATATATTTTATCGTGGGATTCGATCATTCATTTTTTTATTTATTTACGTAGAATAGTATGATTACTATTCTAAAAAATGAATGGTTGAGTCTCCTGACAAAAGGCGTTGGTTGGTGCCTTTTGTAAATAATAAAAATCCCAATATTTCAAAGAAGGTGAATCATTCTATCAATGTTTGTTCTATATAATACGAACACCTAAATATACCCGAGAAGATTGGGGAGGAGCGACCGAAACGAGCGGAGCACTAAGCCCCCCCGGGGTTGGCGATCGAAGCGAGCAGGGGGCGAAGCCCCCTAGTACCTAGATATTAATTTCATGCTTGAGGGTCACCCGCTGTAGAATAGACATTGTTGACTCATGACCGTCGACTATAAAAAAATTATAATTGTTTACTCTCGTGGCTAAGTTAATATGAAATCTCCCATATGTAAATTGATAAAATGTTATCTGAACGTTTTAAAATAGTAATTTTATCGAAAATCCAGAAAGGGCAAGTAAAACAAGCGGCCCATCGCACAGATGTAAATTGAGTATATTTTTTTTGCTAATCAATTAGCAATTTGCTTCCGAATGGATTAATCGAACTGAAACAAAAAAGTGCATATTCGGTTTTTAATTATCAATTTCAGATCAGTAGGGAAGTTCAACCTTTTTCAAAAAAAAGATTAAATATACTTAAAAGATATTTAACCTTTTGTATAATTATATTTAATCTTTCAATAAAAGATTAAATATAATTATACAAAAGGTTAAATATCTCCGAAACTGTCCCGCCGGTTGCGCCTATCCAAAATACAAACTTTCAGTGTGACAAGACCTATAATCGTATCAAATTTCAACTTGCTATCCCCATTTTTGCTTCCGAATGTAAGCCTTGTAATCATGATTTTTTTCGATTTCCTAATTTTCAGTGGAAATGCATAAAAATGTCATGAAACGTGAAAAAATGATGTTTTTAAACAATCTCTATATGCACTCAGAACAAAAATTTATAATATCTGAAACATTTTCTTGAGACAAGTAAATTTTCTTCAATTGCTTAATTCTCTCAGGCACCTCAACTCACATGACCCGAGAAAGGCCTCATGCTTTAAAATATTCTTGTACTCAAGTATGATTTTCTCGCAAATGAACTTACTTAAATCGCGTAGAAGAATCATCAATCTTCTAGTCTTTATTGTTTTCATGATTTTTTCGTTATGCACTTCCAATATTGCAATATGTAAAATATTCATGACGTAACACGGAACGATAGTGGTGAATGAAAATTTATTCGAGTTCCGTGAACTGCACACATTCTGAGATTTGAGCCATTGAAAATAGTTTACTTCTCTCGAGAAAATATGTTTCAGATATTAGAAATTTCGTTTCTCAGTGTATGTGTAGGCATGTGTGTGCACATTCATGTCCGGTTGTTCAGAACTGTCCCTATAACTCGAGAGCGATGAACGGAAAGACGCTGAAATTCTGGCTGCTAATTGGTACTACTGATAGTCAAATTTGTGCTAAATTTCAGCTCAATCGGTTGACCGGTTCCTGAGATATAGCGATTCCTCAAAAATCGTTTTTTTTCGATATCTCCTTAACCATGCGACGGATTCTAATTTTATTTTCAAAATACTTGTCATGATGACACCTATTCAATTAGATCGAAAAAAGACCATTCCACTCCGAGCAATGTAGTTTTCTTCTCGTTTTTTCATTTTTTCACTGAAATTGCTTGTATGCATGATAACTTGAAAAATAATTGAGATAGAAACTTGAAACTTGGTATGATTTTAGGTCTTATGATAACAAAGTTTGGGATTGTAGATGAACGGAATCGGACTATTAGTTTCGGAAATATTCAACTTTGTATGTGAAACTCTTTTGCTCAATATCTCAAAAACTACTGGTCCGATTTCATTTCTTTTTTTCAAAATGTTCGTCGTGATGTCATCTATCTAGATCTAGCAAAATATGTATACCATCCCATTGAAAAGTTTAGAGATATTTACGTGTTTCCACTTTTATGGTTGGAATTCACTTTTACGCATTATGACATGGGTAAAACTCAGGGGAACCTTTTGAAACTTTGGCTTATAGTTAGGATTGTCAAGAAACATTCCTATATCAAATTTTAGATCGACATATTTGATTGTTCTGGAGATGGAACAATTCACGCAAAATTCATGAGAAAAAAAAATTATTTTTTGTCATGAGGTATGAGTGGGATTGGCTTTAATATTTTCAAAAAATGTTAATCTTTATGCCTTCATTTTTTAAAAACACATTGATATCCATTCGGAAGCCTACTACCAATGAAATTGGTAAAAATGAAAATAGAAGAAAAAAAATACGTGGAGAGTAGCAGTCCTATGTAATCTGTCAAATGGCTTCTGTCGCGCTGCTTGTTTCTCAAGTTATCGTGCGTATAAAATTTTTTATGAAAACTGGAAAAACGCCAATATCTCCAAACTCTGTATTAAAGAGTATATATTCCGATTACCCTACATAGAGGCCATCGAGGAGAGTATTTTGAAAACCAAATTTTGAAATCGATGCAGTAGTTTTTGAGATATTGAGGAAAAACAAAATTTCAACAAGTTGTTATACCTCACGAACTACTGGAGCGATCGGGCTGAAATAGTCCGTCGAAGTTGAGCTCAATAATAGCTACAATGAGCCAAAATTTAAGATTTTTATCTACAAATTTTACCGTATTTATGTTGAATTTTCTCAGAATTAATCACCAAAAACCCAAGTTGTCGAATACATACATACATAGATGACCCTAAAAGCATCATTTCTTCACGTTTCATAACATTCTAGACCATTTGCAATCAAAATTAGAAAATCGAAAAATCGGCCAAAAAAAAAAATTCAATCACACTAAAATCTTAGACATACGTCTCTTCATATTTTGTCATATGGGTAGTTATTCAATGTAAGTTTTTGGAACAAAACAAATCGTTTGCAATAAAGAAAAATCATCAGATTCTGAATATAGAGCGATTGGTCATTGGGAAGTCCCCGGAGAATACGTCCTTCCACGCAAATTCAACACAAAGGCATTGAAGAAAATGAGAAAGCATAAACACAACACCACGTTACGGCTGGAAGTATGAAAAAAATGGGTAGAATATCCCTGACAGGTTCGAGGGACCAGGTATAAAAGACTGGTTAGCCACCTTCATTGCCATCAGTTCTTTACCGGTGAATCAAGACTATAATTCTAGTGAAGCCAATCAAAAGTTCAGGAAAATGGCAAAGTTCATTGTCATGTTGGTAGTTATGGGGGTCAGTGCGTTAGCACAACCTTTATCGGGGACGGCTAATGATCACCGTAAGTGGCCTAAGTAACTCTCAAATTTATTCTTGGAATCATAATAAATCCACTGACTAATGATATTGAAATGAGCAAAAGCAATACGATCATATTACTGAACTATATTACTTGATTATTAAACTATGAAGTCACTCTTCCTGGAGAGACCGTCTGTGTGGTCTTACGACGAAACTCCAAATGAATGTTTACTAAATAACATAAACAAATGACTAAGCCTGGAAAGAAAGAAACCATGGTGTCGTTGCGAATGTTGCGATGCTCTTTGTAAGTCCACCATTCTTTATTCAGTTCTTCGACTGATCTCGAAGTGAGAACACGTCTTAATAAAAGTTCAGTTGCTCATATAAAACGTCTTTTATTTAATCTACCTGGCTTCCACAAAACCAATAAATGATAATATAATTTTTGCTCACTTTAGCTCCTGAAATCGTCACAAACTTTCGGAGAGTAATCAGAGCTGCTGATCCTGGATACGGCCGCGGATACGGTCAGTACAATGGTTATTATGGAGGCGGTCATGGCGGATATAATGGATATTATGGAGACGATTATGATGGATATGACGGGCATTATGGTGGATATGATGGATATCATGGGCCTTACGGGGGATATCATGGCAACGATTATGATGGATATGATGGTCATTATGGAGGTGGTTATGGCGGTTACGGTGGTTATTATGGACACCATTGATGGTTTGTTCTTTTCACTGCTTAATATTCAATATCAATATTTTTTTATATCAATTTTATCATTTTTCTCGTTGTTATCTTCTTCAAGCCAGTATTAATTTGCATTCCATATCTTTATTTACAGTAGACAAGGAAGCCATTGAGTCTTCAAGTCATTATGCTCGAGCAAAAAATTTTCGACACACTCTTTTTGTAAATATTACCATATTTTCGTAAGAATAAAAACTTTACTAAAAACCCTCCTGGTCACTTATTATTCCTGGAATGCCTTTTATCCCAACACTGTCTGCGATTTTCGATTGCTTGGTACGAATAAATATATCAAAATATTGCAATTTGATGAGCTGTATTTTAAGGTATACGTTGTAGATACTGCGATAATAAATATTATGCTAAAATGTTATTATGATCAAAAATGTTGTGGGGTCTAATTATTATTTTTTTTTATTACCCGAAATAATTTGACTGCGCTGTTCCATGTCTTCATTTACTCTCCATTTCAACATTTTTGAAAATCGTCGCAAGCTCGAATAACATGGGATCGGTGCATCTCGTCACGATTTTGGGAGGACTTATCTTGCCTGGGTCTCGACTTTTTCGGTTTTTTCTGTTTTTATATGGCCGATATATCGTAACGATATCACTATTGGAGAATGAGGATACTGCTCCGTAGAATGAAACTGGGACCCCAGCGTTTTTGCAAATTTTCTTTTGTGAATTCCATGCTTACTATCCTAATTTTCTAAATTAGAAGAAGTTTTCGTAGATTGAGGAGCTGGAAATATTAGAAGAAAATTTTGTTCCATTGCAGGAAAAAAGTTTCGATTTTCAGGGTCATTTCACTTTTTTTGGGGACATAATTTTCAAAAATCTATTCCCAACGATTGGAGATTTGCCATTGGGGAATTCAACATCTGCAAATTTTTGGTGATTTTGTCACTAATTTTCAGGGAAACGTTACAGATTTTCAGGGACTCATCTCTAATTTTGAGAAATCTAACACCAAAGTTCAGTCATAGAAATCTCCGATGATCAGGGTTATTCTAGTCAATTTCCAGTATGACCAACAATTGGTGATTGATGCCTAAAAATCAGTGACATTTTGATATTTGGAAAATTATTTCTTCCATTCTGTTGCATAAAATGGTTGCCAAAATGTGCAGAATCTATTACATTCATAGAAAACAATTGAGAGATACATGTTCAGGTCTGATGATTTCCCCTACGGCCGGGAAAATCATCAGTGTGAAACGTGTCACATGATTCCGGATATTGCACTCTCATCGACCGAGATCACAATTGAAGAAATAATCGCTGAAATCATCTCCTTGCGCACGTGAATTAGAGTTTACCAATATTTTTTCTCATAATATCCCGAGTGGAAATTGCTTCAGGCCCACCTGAAGCACGATCAGAACTTGATCAGGTTTTTATACGGTTCGACTGATCCGGTGATTCCTGATGAGAACCTGAGCAAGTTCTGATCCAGCAGATCGGATCCGAAAAACTACAGGCGGGTTCATATCAAGTTCTGATCAGGTAGATATGATCAGATGATGCCTGATGAGAACGTAGTGACCAAGTTTTGATCCAATAGATCGGATCCAAAAAACTGCAGGATGATTCAGATTAAGTTCTGATCAGGTAGGCACTATCTCACCCTGAGGTCGGCTGCCTGACCCCAATTTGATCAAATTCCGATTTGATGTCTTTGATCGGCATTTGAACGGGGTCAATTGAAGAGAAAATGATCAGATTCAGATCTAGTCTACCTGACATAAATTTTAATAAGTTTTTCGGATAATTTAATGAACTATTACTATACTATTCAAATTCAGTTTTATCAACCATTATCAATAATTATTTTCAATCTTTAAAAAGGATCATTATACTATAATTGAAATAAATTAAATTAAATTAATTCAATTTAATTTAATGAATTTAATTTAATTAATCAATTTAATTAACAGCCAGCCCTTCTCAAATGAACAAAAGGGAGGGATGATGATGCCGTAAATACGTATTGGAGGAGTATCAAACTTACACGCAAATGATCTTTGATGAAAAACGATGAAAAATTACCAAATGTCTATTTATTTATTAGTGTTATTGTTATTATCATTATTATTATTCATTAATGAAATATATAAAAATTTAATTGAGCATATTTTATCTCTGAGAATACACACGCACATCCACGGGATCAGGAATAATCGTAAATTCAACGAATACCCCGATACAAATCATATAGGCAATGTACAGTTTACTCAATAGTAATAGCGTGATAGCGTAGTAGTGAGGGCATAGGATTAGCAATCATAGGGTCCCCGGTTCGATCCCCAGAATCGGTAAAAAAATAATAAGCTTTCTCAGAGGTAATAACAGTAGAGATTCATTAAGAGAGGCGGCCTACGGTGAAAGAATTGAATTATCTTTTGTTTTGGATTAATTATCATTGATAATTTTTATTGATTCTGACAGACAGGTCATCCGGTTTTCATACAGTTGACTTGATCAAATTTGGATCCATTCGTCCTGATCAAATCCGGATTGGTCAGAGGCGTAACATATCTGATCAAGACCGGATCCGTCAACTTGATTAATACCTGATCAGTGGTCAGGTCTAACCTGATCCAAACTTGATCAAGACCTAACCGGAATTTCCACTCGGGATGTTGATCTGCATTATTTCATATCTTAATCGTACGGTTTGGTATAATGATAGAAAACGTGGAACGATTTAATTGCTGTTATAATTGTAACAGCAATTTTGTTTATTAATTGTTGTTGTAATTGTTTAATAGTTAACGAATGGTGGTAATAATTAAGAAGCTTCGTTAACACCAACGAAATCCTTCTATCAGTGTAATATTAATATCTATAATCGTATTTTCATCCCCGTGCGTATCCCTGAACTGAACTTAAATAAACAATGGAGTCTGTATTGATCTATCGAAATGGAGATGAGTTTTCGTTCTAGTAAAATTTTCTCCTAGAATCAAACATGCAAGAAATGAATGAATATAGAATGATTTTTCTAAAATTTTCAAAATTAATTTTGCTTTACTTTACTTTTAACGTTATTTATTGCAAGAAATATTCATTCTTACAAATGGCCATTGCCCGATGGCCTTCAGCCTAGAATACACTTCTTTTGTACAGTATCAAATTATCTATATCAGGAGTTGTGTACTTGTGGTTCAATGTTGATGATAGTTTGACATGAGAAAAAGAGAGAAAGAAAAAAAAGAGAAATGAGAATGGTGATGAGACTCAACTTTCGAAAATTCATCGTACAGGAATTGTTATGGGTTGCTGATGGTCCTTTTTTTAACTAATGTAAACATTTACCGTAAATGTAAACACTTACTTTTAGTAATGTAAACAATTACTAAATGTAAACATAACGTGTTTGCATAAAATGGATGCATATCCTATGCGCAGAAAAAATGTCATCACTCAAAAATAACCTCTGTCCGTTGAAGGTCATTTCTCTTATTTCCATTCTATCTATAACTCAACTGGGCAATGGAAATCCCCAGTTGAAGGTCCTCGGACGATGGTCAAGGGGACGTCAGATTCATCAGATTCTATGGTTGGGAAGGTAGTGATGAGGAAAGTCATAAAAAATACCATAAAAACATCTCGTCAGGAGATCCCAAGCAGGTTGGAGGAACCGAGTATAAAAGAGCTGTTGAAGACTTGCACCAGCATTAGTTCTTGACTCTTGCATCGAGAATATAATTCAATATGACGAAACTTTTGATTATCATTATGGGCGTCATGGCGGTTGGTGTACTGGCAGAGTCAGCACTACGAAGAGGTAATGATTACTCTAATTGTCCAAATTTATCGAGAATTATCATAATAGTTTCATACTTGTTCGCTTTGAAATCGCACAAATACTTTTTAATCTTATTTTACAAAATGGATGGTTAGAATCATTCACATCATAGATGAGATTAGTTGTGGAGATTCTAGCACATATACATCAATCAGTCTAATACTTCGTATTAATCAGTTGTCAGATCTCCGGAATATGGGTATGAAGGTGGTTACGATGGACATGGGGACCACCACGGAGATGATTCTGATGAAGAACACGGATACCAAGACAGTCATTTCAATGGAGAACAGGAACACCAAGGGTACCATTCTGATTCAGAACACGGACACGAAGGAGGTGATTTCGATGGATATCATGATGACCATCATGACGGACATCATGAAGGTGACTTCGGAGGCTACTATTAATGGTGAGTCACCTTCATTTTTGTGAATTGTCGTTCACATGGATTTAATACTTGTACTTCACTCGTTGAATACTTATTCACAGGAATGATGTAGCCGAGTCTTCGCATCACCATTTTGGATTCAACAGCATGTTTTTAGATTGCTCTCTTTGTAAATATCATTAAAACAAAACCTTTGGCACTGATACGTAGCATTCTGTATCCCCATGTAATCTGATACTGTCTGCAGTTCAGTCAAAACCAGTTTTTGACAATGACCATCCAAAGAGTTGAGTCTTGAGTCATTCGGAACCGGTATTACGAACATAAAAAAGGGTTTCTAAACTTATCAATTGAACAGGTTGATGGAAGAACGTATGAATAATCCGGCAGTAATTGTCATTAATTCTCGATTTCAAGAAAAAATTGTTATGAAATTTCAAGTTTTAGTTAGAATTCAAGTGAACTTATTTCAAGTTACAATAAAGCAGAAATTGTATTTTAATTTTTACTTGCATTTTCAACTGAACAAACCCGACGGCCTGGTGCAGTGGTTAAGAGGGTTGCCTCACATGCGAGAGGTTTCGGGTTCGATTCCCGGTTGGGGAGAATGGTGATGATCTAACCATTCAAAGTCTTCATCAAGTGGCCGCTACAATAGATCTTGATAGATTTAGGTGGCATAGGGCCCTTTGTGCGCCTAGTCGCTCCATTCTAATTTCGAAAAAAAAATTAACTGAACAAAATTGAATATTCCGAACCAAAAGGACCTGAAATCTCTTTTTTTTTTAATTATCCCGGAAAAACTGAATGAATTTCGCTTCTTAAAAATTTTCAAAATTGACATGGAAGATTCGTACACAAATTTGTATCCATGTGGAGTCTTCAAACTTATATCAAACTCAAGTACCAAACTCAAGAAAAAACAGATGACTCATGTATCCGGGTAACGTGTACGGGCCAAGTTGCAATATGGGAATTTTTACTACAAGCTACCTTTCGACTCAAAATTAACGTTTTACAAAGTTTTCAGCTACTACGTCTCCGAGGCAAATGAGAAAACTTAGTACTCACTTAGAAAATACGGAGAAATCCATAAAATGAGCACCCGACGCATCTTTATCATGCGTTGCTATTTTATCTATTCAAATATTTTGAAAGCATTAGGCACTTGCTCTCTTTTACAACTTGGTATAGTCATTTTTGCTGATAAATCAAGAATTTCCTTCTGATTGGACATGTCTACTTAAATTATGTGTCTTAACTTTCTTATGGATACAACTCACGAATTATTCATAATGCGATCGGCACCATCTTCGAGCCCAGTCAAGATGACATTAAAGCGAATATTTTAAGCGACAGTTCAGATAATTATTTTTTAAGTAATCGATAGAAACATGAATTTTGAACAATGTAAATTTCTATAAAAATATAGTACCAACCAATTTGCAATTGGTACTAAACTATGGCGGCTAATGCATTAAAGTTTACATTTTATGGAAAAAATCGAAAATTATATTGATTGAATACCGAGGAAAACGCTAAAAAATATATGAGGTATTCCATACCAACTTGACCACTCCGTGACCTCGACACTTCAGATTCTGTTCGCAACGTTTTGTCTACCTCAAAAGTACACTTCAATTTTATTATCTTTCGATGTACATATTATTAGTTCCTTGGTACATATTAAAGATCTAATGAAATTCTATGAATAGCCGTCTAGGATCTGGTACTAAATATGCAAAATGTGTATTATTATTCTTTTTTTTATTGAACGATAACATTCAAGTGTTTTTGTATTTTTTGTCCAAATTAATAGAGAGATAGTTGATATGGGAGAATGACCAGGAGGAGAGAAACGTTACACACAGGAAAACCTAAACGTAAATTACGTTTAAGAAGTCGTATTTTCCCGAGTCGAGGATTTGGTTCTGATTGGACGTACACAGGTCTTTCAAGATCTCTCCAGACCTAGATGGACCTGGTAAGTCCTAATCAGTTCTGCGACGTACTTTTCCAGAGACCTTTCGAATCCTCAGTTCTTTTCGGTCCTGAGAAGTCCTCCTCGATGCTACCGAGAACGCGTGATTTTACGA